GTTTAATCCCTTCGACTTGACGTTTCCTCCATTCAACTTTTTTTTTCTTTTCTTTAGAAATCCTTCTTTTTTTTAGAAATCCAAATGGTATTATTAAAAGGATAGAGATGCATCATCGATCAAATTCGTATGGTAATCTTTAAAGAATTGAGATGAATGCGTTTCTGGAACAAATAATAAGGGTGGATATCTCGATCTTTTTGTGTATTTTTATTACATGTATATTTATACGCTTAATGATAAGTTAATGCTACATTTATTGACGAGTTAAGAAATCAATTGTTTGCAAATTTTATTTATATTTCTTATTATCTAAGGTTAATAGGTTAAAAGTAAAAATAAGAGAGGATAATAAGAGTTTATATATATATATATCAATAAGCAGTAAATTCTTTTTTTAGTATATTTGCATAAAGCAAAGAAAATAATATTTTGTTGTAAAAAGTTTTTGCTTGTAATATAAGATGTCTTTAAGATTATTTGTCTTCGATACATTTTCAAGATGTCTCCATCCTGTCTGGGTTAGAAAGGTTACGTAATAAGTAAACTGTTATTTAGATACGTTAGAATAAAAATTAATTAACGAAATAATATTCCATTTTTCTTTTTTATAGCAATATTTATAGTAATTTATAAATCAGTAATTTATAAATCAATTACCTTCCAATTTGCATTTTAAATATATAATAATTCAACAAGAGAATGTAAAATTCTAAGTTACGAAATGAAAATACGAAAATAATAAAGTTTATCACTATATTTAACAAACATCAAATATCACCCTCTTATTTTCAATTATCTCGTTATTTGTTTCAACAGAGAGTTATATACCTCTGCTAATTTCAGATATTATATTTCCCCTCCTTGCTAGATTATTCCACCCTTTCTTAAACCGCTATTTCAAATCCATTAATATCTTCCAGTCCTTTAAACAATTTAATCTTCTCTCAAATATTAATAATTACAATTCAAATGAACGTACGATCCATATCACGTTGAATACAAATACCTATATATATATATACATAAATCATATTAAAATCCAGATATTAATCAAATATATCGTAATTTAATTATTACAAATCAATTCGAATATTGATAATTACGATTAATAATGGTCCTGAAATTCATGAAATTTCCGAAATTAGGAAAATGCATCGGGTGGTGTATCGGTTTAGATATTCCAGTGGAAATCGTCTTGAGGTCACGAAACGTGACCACGAGCTTGTTTCTAGGGAAAATCTCCCTCTCTCTCTCTCTCTCTCTCTCTCTCTCTCTCTCTCTCTCTCTCTCTCCCCCATTATCGCGAATTTCTAACAGACAACCGTGTGGGAGAGATGTTTATTCGTGTTGGTAAAAGGCCGATCGATCGGTGCGCGACAACAAGGACCCGGTTTGAGAACCGCTGGCACAGGATTCACCTGCGATCGACGACCCCGTGTCCTGACCCTATCAATGATCCCACGTAGCCCGCAATATTACCGTGAAATCGTGGCTTTTCCACAACCACGTATCCAGCCCCGTGCCCCTGGCAAACCCGCAACAATTATCTCGAAAATTACGAAAACATCCGCCCTCTTACGAACTGATTTAACCGAGTCGAATCCCCGATTTCTTGAATTACACACGTCGTATTATTCATTATTTTATTGTGGACAATAAACAATTTGGCGGGTCGGGTTATTTCTTTAAAATATTTCTGATGAAGATGAAGATTAATTTCTTTGCTCTGGAACAGAGTTAAAATTTAAGTTAATTGGGTAGAGGAAAAAGAACGTTTCTCTCTCTTTTTCTTTATTTTATTCAAAATTTATTTTATTCGATATTTATCACCTTCGTCCTGAATAAAATCGAGCAGATAATAGTTTCTGTCTATCGATAATTGTCTATCGCACCTCCAACTTTATGTATCGCGAAAGTTAGGTTAGGTTTTATATACATGTATATACCAGTCACACATAGAAACCAAACTAATCAACTCCATCGATCATGCGGTTTCAAAGTTACATATACACACACACACACATACCAATCGTACATTTTACCGTGAACGATTTATTCAAAAAGTGAAATTGATCGATTTTATGCCTAATGAAATTGGCTCGAAAATGTATTTTATATGAAAAATTCGCGTAGTTTCGTTATTTTCCAAAACTCGTCGATTTCTTTTATTTCCTGCTCGCGTTGATACAGTTTTTCTTAAACGGTTCTGCTGCAATTGTTTTCAAAGATGCAACTACAATGTAGCGACATATTCATTAATATTCCGGTTGTAGGATAAGCCAGACAGAGTCAACTCTCGACGGTTGCCCGAGAAGAATGAGCGCTCTCGACAAAAGTGTACAAGCGAATTATGAGACAGAGAATGGGGGGGAAGGAAGAAGAAAAAGGGGAGGGGATGAAAGAGACACTCCTCCTCGTTTGGCCGACTGCACGGAAGGATTCTTTTGTGTGTTTCGCGTTATGTGTGTACTTTGTAATTTCAGCGAGAGGTGCTAATAGGTTGTGACAGATTAATTAAGCGACAATGAGCTCAGAAGTTCTGATTGTTCTTGAGTGTCTGCCGGAATCTTGACGCGGTATTAACTCGGTGATGGAGTGAAATATAACGAATAATCGGGGAAGGATATCAGATTGGATTGTTTGGCAGCGGGTGAAAGGATAATGACGATTAAACGGATAATAATGGCGGGGGTGGAATTTGTTTGATCGGTCGTGCGATAAATATTTCGGTTTTTTAACGAGGTTTCTCTTTCTTTTCTTAATGTCTTGATTTTTCACTTTGATGTTCAAGTGGTTTTCGAATGATCTTGATCTTGAAAGTTTTTTAAATATTCAATTTTAATTATTATCATAAAAATTGTAGTCTATTATTATTTCTTTTTTGGTTGGATAATATTCTTGAATTATCTAGAAATAAGTTTCACTTCTCTGTTATTGTATAGTGTTTTTATTAAGAAATTTATTTATACTCTTTTATAATGTATCGATTCAAATGATTTTTCTTTTAATTAGAAATTTTAAAAGTTTTAAAATAAAATTGATCATTTATCAATGCAATTCATCTCGAAAGTACTATGATGTATAAAATGCATATATTTATGAAAATAAGCGAAATTTGGATATAGATACATCTATTAAAAATTTAATATTCGTTTTCATTAAGTATTTTTGAAATATTATGTTTTATTAAATTCTCGTCTCATATGTTTGATCGGTAGACGTATATGCATATAAGGCAGAAAATAAAAATTCATAGAATATTTTATTGAACAATGAATATATGAGTAGATCATGAAATCAAATATGAATTTGTTTGATTCTTTTTTTTATCAGTGGTAAAGTAGACGTGAATTTTTTGCTAGAAAAATTAACATATGAAAGTTTGCTTTTAATTAAAAGTTTTATTAATAATAATTTCTTCTATAGAATTATTTAATGCCTCCATGGAATTTAACCAACTTCAGTTAATATTACCTGAAAAAAAAGAAAAAATATTTGAGAATTGAAAGAATGCATATGATATTGTTTAAATTTGAAAAAGAAACGTATTATTCTGATACTAATTTTTAGTTGATAATATTAAAGATATAATAGAGAATTAAGTACACGATATCAATCGAATAGTGATATCAATAGAGCGCGATTATGACTTCAACATTAAAAAGAAATATAAAAGAAATAATTCTTTTTAACAAAATAATAATTCAATTTCATATTCATTGAAGTAAAAGAATATTTATTAAAATTTATCGAAATATTCCAGCATATTATATCCTAAAAAATATTATCATTAATTTGTTGATTTTAATTTAATTATCTTCCATTAGTATTAGCTTTCAATTACTTTTCAATTATTATTCACATATCTAAATCATTAATCCAATTTATCTCTACTTATTCAATGATAAAATAAATCCTTATAGCAATCATAAAAATACATCACAAAAAAAGTTTTTCCTTTCTAATCACCCAATACTCAAAAAATTAAAAAAGAAAAAGAAGGAATCCATCTCGTCCACAAAAATACTCTCTCTCTCTCTCTCTCTCTCTCTTTCGTAAAAAGACGATTCTCCGAAAAGCAAAATAAAATCTGGCGGTTTGGAGTAGGCGCACTTCAGTAGAGGAGCTCCCTTTGTCGTCCCTTTTCGTATATCGGCGATGGTTGTATTTCCTGTGAAAACCGTGGAACTACTGAGATTGCTCTCAGTAGTTGGCGCCACGCTCGAGTGTTTCGAATCCATGGGGGGGTCTCCATTGGTCGTCTTTTAACACTTTGATTCGCGCCACTTTGTGTTCCGCATAAAGGGTAAACGAGTGGTCGAACACATGCACGAACCAATTTTATTATCACGAATCGTGGTCGTGTCCGTTTTTCATTATATATCGCGAAGAGGATTTTTCAAATTTGCATTCCGGATATAATAGTAGAAGAATTCAATCAAGTAGAAGAATCCGTTTCACGAATGTTTTGTTTGTTTCGTTTGGACAATTGGTGAAAATTTTCGTGGAAAATTGTATGGAAACTCACACAATTTGTCGACGATGTATGTAAATTGAAAGGATTTGAAGATTCACTTTGAGAATTTATCAATTCGTTGGTTGGTTGATTGAATACTTTTTGCTTTCGACGATGCTTCGTTTTGTTTCAAAGTGGTTGTTTTGTTTGGAATAGATTAACTGTGGGATGAGCTTGGTATTTTAAATAAGTAGTAGGTACTTTTGACAGTGTGTGATCGTTAAATTGTTCCCTCTTTGTGAATAAAAGTTATTCTTTACAATAATATTTAAATTGTTAAAGTCGAATTGAATAATTTTATGAAGGATCGTATATTAAAAATTTATTATTTTCATTGATTTCGAAAGATAATCGATTGATTTTCTTCCACTCTTTCATCATCCAATAAATTTATTAAATAATCGTTTTATTTGCAAAGATAATTCAAAACTGGATCGTTGTAAGCAAAATTTTTGTAAACAAGAAAATAAATTTATTGCAATTTACAATCGGAATTTTTGTAACTTTATTCTTTCTATTATAAATTTATACTTTATTGTTTTACAATGTATGCTGTCTTGAATTTATTAGTCCTGTTAGAAACTGGAATGTTAAATATTCATGATAGTACACAGCTTCCCTGAAATGCCAAGCTTCACGAATTTCATTGCTATGCCGAATATGTTAATAATTAAATCTTAAATTGTTTTCGTTTAATAACAAATAAAAAATTTATCTGAAATTATTTTAACATTTTAACAAAGACGCCATATCTGGATTTTGAAAATCTACGAGCTAATGTTTAACAACTTTTATAAATATGATTCTTGTGAATCTTACGTGAATATGAATAATAATAAAAAATATTCAATGGATATTACAAAAAATCAAGCACACCGAATTTAAACAATTAATCTTCTAAATATCAAGCTTAAATTTTCAACGAATTCCTTTCATACGAACGAAGTTTCTACGCTGTATATATTTTACAACATGGACGTACTTTACATATGCACGTGATCATGAAATATGCAATCTTATGCTTCCACTCTTTCGACCACACTTGAAACTGATACGTTTACGCGAGAATTCATAACGGTGGTCAAAGAGGAAGCGGAAGTGAAAACGTTCACCAAAAATAGACGAAGCAATCGCGTTTCAAATTTTCGACGATTTCGCATAGTTCGCCTAAATCGGCTGGAGCCATAACGCGTTCGTTTCTTCCGAGTGGTTGGTATCAGGATGAAAAATGAGGAAATTCGTTTCGTCCGTGAAAGAGGTAACGAGATCTTGACAGGCATTCTGCATGATTGAATCTTCGACGAGCGTGGAAGGAAAAGGAAGACTCGTCATATCCGCGAGCGATATTTAAGGGTTGCGCACCCCCTTTTATACGTCAACGATTTTCTCGTTCTTTGGCGCGTTGTTAACGTTTTCCTTTTTCTGAAATTGCAAAGATATTTTCTATTAACATTAATAACAATCAATAATATATTATTATTCATATATTCATTATTTTACGTGTTTAAAATCTCTCTGAACTCTCGTTTATTCACGTAAATTTGAATGTACAAAAATGACATAAATATCCAAATTTGAAGAACAAAGCAAATGTTCATTTAATCTCCATCCTTCTATTCTTATTAAATTTAATTTTGCATAGATTAATAACTCTGTTGGTTATTAATATATATATATTATAAAATTAACTCGAACTTTGAGCACAGCAGAACGATTAAAATAAATAAACGATCGTTATATTTTTCCAGCAAAGAATATTATACACGTTTTCATATTTAATCAAGCAAAATTTTCCTCGTACAAATTTTTAATTCGTACAATCTTATCATCCTTCAAAATAAAATTTACTTCAAACGAATCGAGCTTTCATTCCGTTTAAATTTGCGTTTCTGAATCCTCTGTGATTCATTGGTCCAACTTCACGATGGCTTTTCGTTTTAGACGGCCCACACAGTTCCAATGCATTCCATTCTTTTTACATTCTCGTAGATCGAACGCGCGACAGTGTACACACACGTGGATCCCGTTTACACGTTTAGATTATACACCGATAGGAAACGAGTACTGGATCAATTGGATATACGTCTGCACGATAAAGATTCTCTTACGAAAGTGATCGTGTTGGAATATACAACGAATTAATCACAAAGTTCTTGTGTTTATTTTTGTTCGTCGAAACATATTGTCTGATTCATCGATACAATTTTTTTTCGTTGCTCTTTATCGAATCTCGAATAATTTTACTTATCGATCGTTTAATCCATCTGAAATTGAAGGAAAATTGATTAAAATAATAGAGAAAAAAAAAAATCATTAATAGAATAATTGAACAAATTTTTTTATTAAAAGTAAATTTTCTTTGGAATGATTTTTATCATATTTTTTTTTTTAAGTTTAATTTGTCAAGTTAAAATAGATATTAGAAATCTTTTCAATGTAATTTTTTCATAAAAATAATTCCAATCAAAGGAGATCACATTGAAAATCTGAGAAAAATCAGTCAATAATAGAATATGTTTATATTATGAAATCAGATAATAATTGAAATAGATGAATATGAAAAATTAATACAATTTAACATAATTTTAAAAATAATTTCCATTAATAATGATAGCGATATCTTCGAATAATTTATAATGGAATGATATAGAAATTAAAAACATTTTGATAATAACTGTTGTTATAAGCATTGATAAAAATGTTGAAAATAATTCTGAAATCTTAATTAAAAAAATGATATGAAAAACCATATAATCTCAAAGGATTTTCTATTATTATCTATAAAAAACAAAATTAAATAATCCACTAACGAGATAAATTGAGATGATCACGTTATAATTAAACACTCTGTTTACACAATTAAATTAAAGTAATATGAGAGTATTATAAGAGTATTATAAGATGATTAATAAACTCATGAAATTGAAACTCATGAACTATTGAAAAATGAATTGAAAAAAAAAAAAACAGAATGAAAGAATTGAAAGAAAATTGAAAGAGTAATGAAACGATTCTTCGCCAACGTGATCAAAGGTAATTAAAAAGGGATAATCAGCGAGAAGGTTGTTAGAGAAGATATGCCGTTTTATCGACCTGTTCGACGTTGGATTGCTCTTTTGATGTTCTCTGGTCTATTAACCGAGGAGTGTATAGCTCTCGAGTTAAGATTTCCTTTAACCGAAGTCGTTCGTACTCACAGATCCGTTTTCTTTTCTCTGCCATTGTGTCATCGATTATAGAATCATCGATAAACTGATGACACTTGACATGATTTCTCATTCATGAGTGTACCATTTAATGCGTTTAAACACAATGAGTCGAATAATACTCGTTAAATATTCTTGATAAATTCAAGATCATATTTTTCCAAACACACAAAAATATATGATTTGATTTTTAGTTTGAAAAATTACAGAGACTGGACAGTATATTATTATTATTATTATAGTATTGGATCATTAATAATTAATTAATTGAATTAAACCTTCATTAACGATAATATCATTATTTATCCAAGTTATTCCATATTCTCTACAATGTCTACAACGTCAAACAGTAAAATGGGAAATGAATGGCTTCAGTTTACAGAAGGGTGAGTTATCGTAAATTAATTTCAACCCACTTAGATATTTCATCTTGCTGTATCTTCTAATAATAATAATAATAATTAAAATGGACAATTATTTTTTTCATTAGAAACTTTTAATTAATATCACGTTAAACCATGCTTAATCCACAAATAATAAGATTAAAGATAGATTAGATTAGATTAGATTAAATAAACAATTAGATTTATGTTTTTCATTTTAAATGAAAGACTATTTAAACTACAATTTAAATTACGAAATCGAATGTCCTGAAAAATGAAAAGATCTGAAACACAATTATAGCTCAACGATTCCAGTCGAGTGTTAAGCAATTAAAATGAAATAAATTTTTTTTTTGTAACAATTTCATTCACGATGTTATTACATTCATCTATATGCATTCGTTTCGATTCATTACAGTTCGTTTCCATGAATTCCGTTAAATTAATACATTCAACTATAATTACGATTTAATAAATGGATTTATATAATGGATTTATATAACGAATGTATGATTTATTGTTTGAATGATAAACGTGTGATAATTTATTATATTTTCGAGTCGAATGAAGCGTGGAATAAGTTTCTTTCCCTGGAAATCAATAATCTTCAACATGTTATAATCTAGATAGAACTCTATATAGAATAATTTTCACCACGAGGAACAATGATCTTTATAAATTTTAAAATGTAAATCAACACTGATGATACATATATCGATTTTTACCTTGGTAATATTTCTTCTATAGATAGTACAATAATCTTACAAATGATCTTTGCTCTTTGATTTTTAAACGAAACGAAGATTTTTCTTTTTGGATTCTCCAAGAGGGTGCAATATAATTATTTTCAAATCAACTTTATTTTTAAATAGAATCATATGGTAACGTAACAAATGCCAAAAGAGATGCCAGTATAATACAACAATTTAAGAGCAAAGATACGATCCAATTTCAGCCTTCAACTTTTAACAGGATTAATCTGTATCAAGTTATAATCTAAGAACTCTCTCGACTTTATATTATTCTCCATCTTCAACGAGATCTTTTCACGAGATCTTTCGACTCTTGTCCTCATTAATTCAATTCCTTCCCTCTCACTTTTTATCTACCACTTTTTTTTCCCCTCCCTTCCATTTTTCTTCCTTGCTCGTCGATTTTCCAATTTAAAATTATCGATCCTCGATCTCGATCATCCTCTCAACCGCATAGTTTTTTATACAGACAATCTTCTCCCGTTTAAAATTGCCATTTCCAGAATTCATCTCGGTTGTGTTCGCGTTTCGTGCTTGAAACCGAAGCCGAACTCCAAACGAACCCACTCGATCTCTTCCACCCCATTCCAAACGCTTGTCTTTCACACCCAACCCCCTTTCATTCACGCCTTTCGTTCACATGTTGGCGCCATAGAAACTTGAAATTTGTTATATTGGGGCCAATTGAATTTAAAAGATTAAAAGCCATCAATTGCACGTTTTTGAAATATCTGTTATGATGACAGTGATTCGTTACGCGTGTCAATCTCCCTGAAATTCTACTGCTTTTTTTTTTTGTTTCGATACTACGTCACTGATCGTTGAAACAAAAATTTACCAATATTTACCATTTGATCTGATTTTAATCGATATATGGCGAAACATGCTCTGCAAATTATACGTATTTTGTTATTTTTTGAAAGATTCTTTCAACTTTTCTATTCAATTTTGCATACGTGATTAGAAATATTGTTGTCAACAATCATTATGAATTTCTTTGCATTTTTGTACGATTATTTCTTGTACTTATCAAAAAAGGAATTAATATCCATCATTTGGGGATCCAATTTTGTATTTGAATATTTTAAAAAAATTATTTATCGTATATGCACGATTGAGATTTCTTTTTATGGAAAGAAGCATAACGTAAATTACCTTCATCAGATTTTTATTTATATAAAAGTGTAACAATTACCATGCTTCTCAATCTTTGTAAAATTTCACTGGTTCACCAGCGATTGAGAATCACGAATCGAAATCCTATATTCTATATGGGAATCGCGTATTATCGCAACAGTTGCAACGTTTCAAAGTGGTTATAATGAAGGTCTGAGAGATCCAATATTACAGCGCAATAACTAGGGCGCAATGGGTATATTCTATGAGACTAAACGTGAAGGGAAGACGGAAACGAGCCGCCGGAAATTCACCATCGGATCGTTTCCTTCCCACCAAGAGATGCAGAATAATCCAATCCGGGTACGAGGAATCGTTTAAGCAACTCATCTTTTCCACAATGAATTCAATTTCGAGATACGCATACGCAAATTGTCTTAATATAAACGGTGTAATAATTGTTTCGATGAGGGGTATAGTTTCGATCAAAAGTTTAGAGTTGCCATTCTCATCAAATTTTCAAATCGATTTTATTTGATTATCGATTTGAAATTAATAGTAGAAATGTGAATAATTATTTTAATAAATTTTACTCGAAAAGATTTTCTGTTTTAATTTCAACTTTTTTTGTTTAAGTTCTTGAATTACCTGAAATAAAATTCGGGTAAAATTTCTGGCAATATTATCACGTAAAGATTTGATATAGCTTTACTCACCTGTATAAAGTTGTTTGTAATTGTTTCGGGAACGTTACTTGAAAAATAAAATAAATAAAAAACAATGGCTGTAGGGCTTTAAAGTATAGAAATGTTTTTGTGTAATTTTAATTGGATTGTAAACAGCCGTTTCGACAAACTCTCGAGGCTAAAAACACTATATTGTACGTGTACATATCGTATATATAACTCAACAATATTTGATTATCGATTCGATTTGTATTTTCAATATTTTTTTTTCACTTTCCTCCGAATTCATCTCTTGCTTCAAAATTTTCAACTTTTCCTTAAAAACGTAAGCCCAAAAATAAAATGAATCTCTTGTGCTTTAAGACTCTGTACTCTCTTTTATTTTCAAGAGTAACATATGAAATTTTCAAAAAAGCGAAAAAGAAAAGAGAGAAAAAGTGATATCTTTATTCTTTTCTTATTTGATTATTTTCTCAAAGCTTAAATATTGACCACACTATGATATTTCGTTTCGTACAAACACATAACTTGTACAATTGTAAATGTCAATTGAGGCAATTTAATTTTTAATTAACAAAGTTAATATAATGTTTGCATAGAAGAAACTTGCTTTGATCTTTGGCATCTTGACTTTTATCGATTTTGATCATTAATAGAAATAATCATTGGGAAGAGTGGTATATTTAAAGTCATCTTGACATCATTGTAGTGTTATTTAATTAATATTTTTTTTATAATTTATTTACAATTCCTTTATAGTAAGTACAATTAATTTTTTCTTTGATACATGTTTGTAATACAGATAAAAGAGATTAGAATTAAAAAAAAATTCTTGAATACTTCTATTTGAATCGATGATAATATTAATGAGTAATGAAATAATCTGTCATTGAAAAAAGCAATAATAATAAAATAATATTATCGAGATATTTTTTAATT